ATGCTAAACAACAACAAAATATAATAGTCAAGATATGTTAATATTGTGAGACAAAATTAGCGAATAATACTTTAAGCAATGTTCATTTTAAATCACCAAATTTAATTAAAATTAACTCTTATACCCGATCTTTTGTTCTGTTCTCGCATATCTTATATCTACAGAAAGCTTTCTAGTAATTTTTAAAACCTCGTTTAGTTATTCTTTACCATAACATGTGAAAATAAGCTTAGTGATATATATGTTAACGTCTCCAAGTGGTTTTAACTTGTTCCAAGGGGTTTGCTTTTACTCGAAAACTATTCAATGCAACGTGACAGCCCTGTAGTACAACGATCTCGATGACCCAGTTAGTGAATTTACGTCGCTTCGACGCAGCGGTACTGGCTTTGACTCGACACTTAACTGCCAGCTGTGCACAACCTCCGCGTCTTCGGAAGAGTCACGACCAGTCAACGTAATGAATGTGCAGCGTGCAAGTAACACGCTCTTCTACCACTAATCTAGTTCCGTTTGCGAGGGAGAGGTGCATAAATGCGGTTCACCTAATAGGTGCGTCACATCATCAATGGATAGCACCTTCAGGGTTGTAGTAGCGTTGTCAACCTGCAAAATGATGCCCCCTTAACCAACTCAACGCACATCCCAGATCTTCTGCAAGACCATGGTCCTGACCAAGAGGAACTAGCCCAAGCAACAGAAGCTGCTGTGTTACACTACTAAAGTAGTTAGGTTTTTTCATGTAAGAGGATCACACGTGAGCCGGCGGTTCACGTGATGTAAAGAGATAACTGCATCCAGCAACAACAGCCGCAGGGTTGCAAATGCATTGTGACATTTTAATAAAATTCGCTAGAGTTTGATGAAGTGAGGGAGGTAGGCGGGGCCCCTACCTCACTCACCAGATGAAACGCAGAACCTATAACATAACCACTCCACGCTGGTCATCGGTTTCGTGGAACTTATCCGAACGGACCTGCCCATTGTTACCACTCGCTGTTGAAAAAAAGAAAAGACTTGCTTGTCACAGCAAAACATTTTAAACATTAGGACTATAACTAATTTAGTTAAAACCGACAGCATTTGCTACTACTATGGGACGAAAATTTTACGACATATTTCGCATGGAGCTATCGTAGGTTAAAACTGTATTTGTACTTTGCAAACAGTTTCAATTCAATCGATGTAACCACATCACGGATTACTTCAAGTATCAAATACTTAAGAACAAAAATGTACTCCGTTTATCTGCTCATCCTTTATTACTAAATCGTCTTCAGTTTAAAAATAAATACCACATTAAATTACGGTAAAAAACCCGTATCTCATCGCTGCGCAGGAATGTAATGCACGGAATCCACTTCCTTATGTCCAATTCGCGTTAATGTATGGTAATAGCCGAATTCTCACGTGTTTTTTTCCTTTATTAGGCTAAAGCGCTGACAAGGGGGCGGACGGGTGCCTTTCCTCGGTTTTTCACGTCGCCTTCGTCTATATAAATAAAGGCACAGAACCCGAAGACCGGTTCGTCTGCGTTGTAACTGAATAATTCATAGCGCCGCCGACTGTACTCATCACTGACGTCAAGAGATGCGTTAGATTTGTAACGAGTTGTTTTTGCGATCGCCTTCGATCGATCAGACACACGTAGCGATGAATTCAATCGTCTTTAATTGAAAAAAAAAAAAAAGAAACAAATTAATTTTTAAATTATTTAAACGTGAGTTTTGTTATTCCAAATATAGAAATAAAGTTTTTCTTGAAAGAAAGAATACTAGAAATTACACAAAATAAAGTTGGAATGATATCTTAATGTATAATTGGATTTTCCATTAGCAATATGAATTAAAAAATGAAATAAAAAAATTTTTGCACTATTTATAATTTCAATGTTCTCTTATTTCGAAAAACTTTAAAAAATGGAAATAAAAATCAACTTAGAGCTAGAAATAACTCGGCTGCCACTAAAACGAGCAAAAAAACATGACAAATATTTGTCAAGAACCTGTAAACGGAATTAAAAACAAAAGAAGTAGCAATATTAATTGTTTTCAAGCGATAAATGAATAACAAAACTAAGCGACAAAACAAAGTTTGATTACAAAATAAAATTAATTGCAGCTTCATATTATATGTGCATATTTATGCGGAATAGCTGGCGTTTTTTCTCATCGGCAACAATGTATCATAAATATAATATAAACTATGTCTTGATTATGTTCATGCTTTTATTATGATTATGCTCCGTTAAAAAGAAATATGTACAGGAAAATTCTGTTACGTATCTAAAGATGAAAATTCTGTTACATATATAAAGTTATATTGGGCGATGAGGGCGTAGATCTCGTGGGCCTACTTTAATACTGAATTTAACTCACTATTAAAACCAATGGGAAGTAAAAAGTAGTAAAGTAATAGCCTATACATGTCCCACTGCTGGGCAAGGGCCTCCTCTATACAGAGGGTATCAGGGCATAGTCCACCACGCGGCCCCACTGCGGATTGGCGGATTTCACATATCTTCGATTTTTTTTGTTATTATTTCGAAAATATGCAGGTTTCCTCACGATGTTTTCCTTCGCCGCGCATCACGTGATATGTCAGCACTTAAAGTTAAAAACTTCATTGGTGCCGCCACCGGGGATCGAACTCAGGTTGCTCGAGTATATTGAATTAAAGGCGAGCGCCCGGACACTGAGCTATCACGGCTCTAAAAGCTCTATCAAGTAAAAAGTACTTAAAGCGAATAAACTATATTTATACCCATTTATACTCACCAGACGAAACGCGAAAGTATTACACTTGCACTTCACGCCGGTCTTCTTTCTGTGAGGCTGCGGTACTTCCCCGGACGGGCCTGCCCATTCGTGCAACAGCTGAGGATACTGCGTGACCTTATCACAGTTTATATGATATGACACCAAACAATTACGCGATTCCTCATTGACTAGCCGAATATGAGCGTCTGTTATAACATATCAGATACAGAATAAAAATATTTTCAAGTAGTTTTCAATCATCGTTGAGCGCGTGATAAGTCTATACCGGAATTTGAACTCAGGTTGCTCGAGTATATTGAAATAAAAGCGAGCGTCCGACGCTAAGCTATCACGACACAATGTATATCTTGACGTACGTATCAGCAAATCCCTCTGGAGTGAAAAGACCCACATTTTTTTGAACAGGACAGAGTGTTAAGCTTCAAGAGTCTTTAAAGCCCGCAGTGTTGCAGAATTTCGACAGGCTTCGTTTTAATGCGCCGTGTAAGTTCCAGATTGATTCGAAAACACATAAGAGAAAGAGTTTAGATCCTGCATTAGTTATTCCACGGCTAGTTAGACGTGAGAAATCGCCACGACAAATGTTCCCACGGGCCTCTCCCGGATCCCGTTACAAAAACCTACAGCGTCGACTTACAACCCGGGCAATAGCGGCCCGCGCCCTACCCCGCCCAGCGGGTCCGATTAGCATTTTATAGATCCACTCGCTATCGACTAGTCGTCAAGACTAAAAACCCAACTTCGATCACCCCATTCGAGTCTAATTTCGCAATCGAGAATATTCATTCGCCCGAGGGAACAACGAATGTGATTTTCACTGTGGTGACCCCACGTAACAGCTTCTGCTGATTCACGAATGGACAGACTCAGACGAGGAAGTGCCAAGCCTCGCAGAAGACCAGAGTGATGTGGAAGTATAACACAATTGCGTTTCGTTTGGTCAGCTATGTAACCGTGTCAGATATTGTAAATGTCATTGGGCGGCGGTAATCAGTTAATATCGGGGGTCGCTTGGCAATTTTTTACTTTAAAAAAAATATATTGCTAAATTCTTCAAGGGTTCTCAGTGGGCTTAAAGTTATGGCTTAGAATAACGCCTCAGAAAGAAACTTTTTTAATATACCTTACAGTCTGGATCATGGACTATATCTGTACTAATAAATGTAGAGTCGGTTTTTTATTCGATTATACTGCGACAACTACTGAACGATCGGAATAAAACTTATACCATAAGGTGATATGTTGGTGATTACTTATCCGAAACCTATGTTTTTTTGAGTTAAGGAAAATGGTATGACCCCGCGAAGTGAGCGGAGGAGAGCTAGTCTCTGTATAAACTAGAGACAATTATGCATTAATGCCGTTATTTAATTTTGGCTATTATTTACCTATTAATAATAATCGCTTCATAAGATTTGGCTTAATTCATTTTATGAATTTCATCGAGTTGGATCTTTAAATTATTACGGTTAATTTGACGGTTGAACGCCTAATGTGTCAGCCCGTACCTCGAACAATAATGCTTCAAAGAAAACGATTGCATACTCCCGATGCTACGTGAACTTTAGAGAGCTAGCCGAACGGTTCATCGAATGAAGGGTCAACCATTCCAACCCTCTAATTTAATTACCAACCCGACAAAACGCGACCGTTCGTAAACGTCCTTCGACGTGGTTGAGAAAGGGAAGATACATAGGAGGTACGTCGTATTAAACGGGGTTCCCGCTAGGCAACACTATACCTACACATAGTGCTAACATACATAGCCAATTAGTTCGTCCTCACCTAGAAACAAGAAACCAACCACCGTACACGCGTACACAAGGCACACAAAATAGGGTGGTCCACGCCGCACCCAGCCAACGCTTAATATAGTCAACTACCATCAAGATCACGCACCGAAACTGGATGGCCTATAGGTTACACTCATCCCCGTAAATAATGCACTATTATGGGCGTTCTCGCAATAAGGTTTTTAAAAAAAACTATTTAATTAACCTAAAAATATAATGTTTATAACAGATAACTGAATTAGAATAACTTGAATTAAACTTAAAAATGAAATACAGATTTAGAAAGACAGACTTCAGACAGGTCTTGAGAATGAGGGGTGACTAACTGGCTCGTCACGGTTATTATATGGTTAAATAAAAATGCTGATATGGCGATCGAGATATGCAGGGAGTGTATTTAGCCAGATTCCTAACATGCCAAGGGTGTATGCCAACGCATGAGCTCTATCCAAAGCTGACTTTCAATCTCACTAGTTCCGCGTTTGACGAAGCTTTTATAGCCTACACACCCAAAGTAAGAACATCAGTCAAAGTAGCTTCAAACTTTTTTTGTAATTAATGTCTTTACGAAGTTTTTAAGAATCTAATTTACACCTATTACGTGTTCGCAGACTTACATCTATTCAGGGAAGAATGGGGAAAGGCAATAGACAAAAGTAGGTAAAATAAAAAAAGCGTTAAAAAGCGCGAAATTATAATAAAATTCACTTTGTATTCAAATGTGGTCTATCATTGACTTCCCCCATTTACGACATTAAGCTTATTCCCGGAAACTCATCCTTAACAAAGAACGGTTGCGCCTCAACTTTCCATTGATCACAAAGCAATCATCATTGCGAATTTAACCGTAAGAATTCACAATAAAACGTAATAAACTACGCACAGCCGTCTAAAGGCCAAGAAATTTATGATTCAAGCGTTTCAATCGACATTGACATTTGCAATCGGCTCCTGTTAATAATCAAATAAAATAATATGAACTCTAACTCTTTCGACCAGTAAGTAAGATTCACTAACCGCTGCACCGTAACGCCCTTACTGACATGATGATTGCCAAAAAACAATCTTATAACGTGTATGTTTTTTGAATAGTCAAAGAAGACGAATTAAAAATAAACGAACATGCCACAAGTTTTATTTTGAAGTTTATTACTAATACGTAAGATTCATTGCGTTATGCATTAAAGCATTGCATTTATTAGATCTCTATGGTTACGTCTATTTTATTTATTGTCTAATCCCACTATGGACAATTCCAATGACGCTTTCTTTATAAAAAAAAATTAAAATTTCATAGAACACGGCATTCCAATTTTGAATTTTGGGGCGAATAAAAATCGACTTACGCCAGACAGCGGCAGGTGAACCGGGTCCCACGACAATCGAACACGTCCTTCCAAACGCGGCCGCAGGAGTCCGCACAGAACACAAACGCAGTCCGCACTGGACGCCGAACGGTACTGCTGTAAAGCCTCCACAATAATTCTCCACAGTATGTAAACCGCGTCTCTGCGTCAGACGACCGTCCGTCAGCGTCGCCGGCAGCGGACTGGCTCGCGGCCGATAGCGACGCACAATTTCAGCTCAGCCGCCGCAGCTGAGGTGTCCGAGTGGTTAAGGAGTTGGACTTGAAATCCAATGGGTTCTACCCGCGCAGGTTCGAATCCTGTCCTCAGCGAAGACTTTTTTTCTTCTTTTTCTTTAAATTTTGTCACAGCCTCCAATACTTTTTACATTTTAGAATATTTTTTAAAAACTTTCTTTTAAAAATTTCTTTTGTTTGCATACACAATAAAAATTATTTAATAATACTCATTTATAACATTTATAATTATAATAAACTTGTTCATCCAGTATTTCCTTGAAGCATCTTATCATCAGAAAATATTAAAATGATATTTTTAATTTTTTTTTAAAACATTTTGCTATCGGTGTTTACATTTAAAAACCGATTTAGCATTGCTCATTAGCAATGCTAAAGAAACCTATGCGTGTATAAAACTAGTAAATAAAGGCGTATAAAATATGCGTACATTAAACCTGTATAGTAAATAAATTGCAAAGAAATCACCTAAGCTAATAAAATACAAGTTAACAGTTAAAAAAACACATGCAAACAAAGCTGCAAATCGTTTAATTGAAGTTTAAAACAGAGTTTTTTTGACATCCCTACTAAGTGGTAACTGTGAGTTGCTATAAGGAAAATCACCTTGAAATTAGTTTCATGAATCAGATGTAGCAATTTCTGCTGAATTTAAAAGATTAATTAAATAATACAGAGAGTGATAGTCTAATGGGCTAGTGGTTGAAAAGGTACAGTCACGGTCTTAATATTCTAGTATTAATATACCCGAAAAAAAATACATGTATATTATATTTATATAATAAAAATTAAAAAATTGGTCCGTAATAGTTCAGTGCCGCAATAGGGCAACCCGAGTTCGAATCCCGGTGCCAGCACAAATGAAATTATTAATTTTAAGTGCTCTTATCGCGTGCTCAGCGGTGAAGAAAAACATCGTGAGGAAATAATAGCCAAAAATATAATATTTAGAAGATATGTAAAGTTTGCCAAACCGCAGTGGGGTCGCGTGGTGGACTATGCAAATGATAATGAACATATCTTGCGTTGGAACGAATGGTTTAAAAAACAAACTCCCCTTCGAGCTCCGATTCGTAACATTACAGTTAATGGAAAAATGGAATTGACTGTTCAACAATTTATACAAGCCTAATAAATTTCTAATAAAATAAGTACAGTTAGTTTGGGCACATACGCATAATCGGATACGAAAATAATACGGTAGACCATACGGATAATACTTCAACCAAATGGGGACTGAACACATAACCCGCAGCACGGAAGCCCTTAGCTTAACAATTGAACCAACCGAGTTCGATTAATGCAACAGTTATTTATAACACTAACTTACCGAGTTATCGCAATTTGCATGTGCGTAACTTACCGTCTGGTATACGTGCCCCATGACTTAAGACAAGTACACCTGGTACTCCATTCTTGGAATTTAATACGACACAACCAGTAGCCCATTAGACTATCACTCCTTTTATTGGGGATCCGTACCTTAAAAGGTAAAAAAGTAACCCTTATAAGTTCACTTTCTTGTCCGTCTGTCGGTCCTGTGTCACCACCGATTTTCTTAGGAATGGGTGGAACTAGCGAATTAGTATAAAAATCAAGATCCTGACTCAATACGATAACAAGATACAGGCAAATTTAGATTTGCGAAAGCAACAAGATTGAATCGATATTTCAACTATAATAACATCGGGGTCGCGTTGTCTGTGCGTTCGTCGCGCGTTGCCGAGCCGCGGCGGCGGGCATCCGTGATTCAGAATGTAAACACGGCCGGGCTTGTTATTAGTCCACATGCGAACAAAGCCTTTAGATGTTTGGACGTCGCCACTCGGCTGGAGAATCTGTGGCATCATCACTCACGTATCCAGCTGACAACTGACGCATACCTCTACGACTACAGTCGTAATCCGATCATAAATATTACATCTTATTTAAACTGAACTGAACTGAAACAATGATTAGTGAAATTGATACTTAGCATGATGTTAAACGCTCGTTTGTTTGAATGCAGTATTCTCATAAAAGTCGCTCTGATTTGTAAAAGAATGTTACCGATAGTAAAACGAAATTTAAACCGCGACAGACTAAGAAAAAATTACATAACAACAGAACCGATAATAACATATTTGTATTGATTGACGTGCTTCGATCGTATAACCTGTTGATGCGATCACGGTAATTGCTTTACGAAAAGCAGTTTCGTCCTGGTGCAGTAATTCAAGATGATGCGCGAAACGCTTATGTGTTTTTAATCCAATAGGCCGTCGGCGAATGGAAAATTTTGCGCATCGTGAACCGCCCGAAGCTTGCTGTGACAATAATTATTGTGGACACGTGCCGCAGTTATTGCGGATTGTCAGAAACGCAATTGAGGAATAAAAACGAGTCAGTCAAGCTGTCTAAAATGTATTGCGATTTTTAGTGACGCATTGGAAGTAAGCAAATAGCTAAAAGTATAATATGTATCGCGATTTGGAAGTAAGCAAATGGCAAGGTTACCCTAAATAAATTATTTTACGTGCCTAAAAAAGTAGTGTGTGACTATTGACACACTACTTTAAAAAGTAGTGTGTCAATAGTCACACACTACTTTTTAAAGGCAAAGGCTAAAGCGCCATCTAGTGGTGATATTGAGAAGTTGTACTATGGAGAGACAGTACAGGCTGCAAACTCTCCAGGAACTTCATTTTAAAGCAATTTAAACCATGAACCAAAATACATCACATTGGGTTTAATGAACAAACTGATATTTTATATTTAAACTATCAGTTTGAGCTTGTGCTCGCGACTTCATCACCTTGGGTCTAACGAAACAAAAGCTCCAGAAAGCTTATTTGTGATATGTTCAATATTGATATGTTAAATTTTTTTTTGAACAATAATATTTTCCAACACACCCGTTGGGTGTTTCGGAGCCTGTACAAGGCAAATTCCCAGAAAGACAGGCACATAAAAATTCTAAAAACGGTTAATTATATTTGGCAATTATCTTGAAACACGGACAGATTAGAGATACTTGAAATATTTTTAATTTAGAAGAATTTAGAAATACCCCAATAGGATTTTTCTTCTTAATTTTGCAAATAAATCTTTAACTGTTTTTGAAATTATTAAAGAACATGTTTGGGGATAGAAGTTATGAAAGAGTTGTGAAGGGATTGAAGAAAATTCTTAATGTCTGCTTTATCTCAATAATATAAATCAATGACGTACTTATATACATAAATGCAATATTAAATTATTTTATTTATTTATTTATTCGGGAATATAATGACAGCATATTATAAACAACAGGTTTTCCAGCTTATCACACCTCTTTTAGCGTGTTTTAAATACCACCCACAGCAGTACGCAAAGGATAAAGCAGTAGGTAAAAGTGACTTTGTTCTTCTTGAGTAATTACTTTATCATCAAATCAATTAAGTCGATCTTATAATTCGGACGCCCGTGTGTCACGAGCGTGGCAACCCTGCGAGGTTCGCTTTAAACATTAGACACACGGCCGTTCGCAGCTCGTGCACCGTGCGGGCGCGACCGAGTGACGACCTTCGCGGCACGAAGAAGGAATTTAAAATCGCCCCCAAGAAAATACGCCATCGGTTTTTCCCGCGCGTTGCATAATGGCCGCCGCCGCGGTCGCAGCTGTGTCGGTGTTGACACTTGCATCGAAACACGGAGCAATAGCCACCGCCAACCTAACGATACCACAATGCAATGAAATGTGGCGTAAACAGTTCATTAATTGATTTGCAATTCATTAACAGGTCAAGTGTGAAGTCGAATCAACGGCCTAGATGATTAGTTACTTGTACCGTCGTTGATATTTGATAGAATGTTTTTCCTGAAGAAAGGCTAAGGAATGTTAGCCCATGCAGCCAGTGAAATGATTCAAATTTATAGACTAAATCTTTTACTATAAAAATGTTTTGCTTGCCTTACTGACATAGATTTTTTTTATCTACCATAGTAAACAACACTAAGGTTTGTTTTAAAGACATTATATGCAAATATAACTTATATAACAATTATGTATTCGATGACTCCGTGGCGCAGTGGCCAAGGCATTTGTTTCGGCGACAGGGGTTCGATTCCCACACGCGACAACTATTTGTGCGACCCACGGATAATTGTTTCGGCTCTGGGTATTCGTCGACATGAAATTTATGTATGTAAAATGATCTTACAACAAAGGATAATGTTATCCTACAGTAGAGGCAATGTTTTAAAAATAATAACATGTAGAGTTAAACAAATCAAACTGTTATATTTAGTTAAATCTTATTGACTCTGAGTACCTACTCTAGCGGATGAATAGTATTAGAGTGGAAAGCTAACGTAACCTTGTTATTGTCTAAAAGATCAAACAAACAACAAAGTGTGACACGGTAACCAAGCAGTTAAAAGTGCAATGAATCAAAAATATCAGCAATTACTTTTGATTCACGTTTGGAAGTTTATGATATAAAACCTGTTTAAACAAAAAGGTTACATTTCGTTCATTTTATTGATTTACATTTCTTCATTACAATGTATAGTTTTCGCGGAAATCCAAGAAATTATTTTAAACAAAAATAATCCGCTGTACCAAAAGTTGTCTATATTCCGTTTTGCCTCGACCTCTGCTCCGTCTATTATTTTCGTTCGGTGACAATTTTTTATTTAATCGACATCGTCGCTAATTGATCAAATGGCACACGCCTGCCACAACTAAGATATAGCAACAAATTTTATCTCCTGACACTGCAAAATCCTAGCTATTGATTAGTACTACAGTTTGTATGTATCGTTGGCTATCATGTAAGCATTTATTAGCACTTCCATACGTTCGACAATGTCATGATATCCCATTCAAAGTCTTCTTAGCACATTGGACCTAATGCGTTACGTTCAATGTCTTCACATTGACACAAGTGACAAGTATTATGCCACGAGGTTGACATACAGACGATTCGGTAACAAAAAATACCCACGAATACATACATACATAATAAAAAACACAAGTAAAACAATTGATCCCAACGACCAGCGAGATATTAAAAGCCTATTTATTTTCCCCGTTTCGATTCCAAGTATTTTTCAATCATTTGTCTTTTAGCTGAAATTTGGATGTGGTAAAAGATTGAATAATTCTCGAGGTCGTATGTACAATTGGAACAAAGCTGATTAGTTTGATTTATTTTCTAAATAAAAACAATCAATGAGTTCTAATTCATGTCTGATACGCATATGTATGGTATTAAAATCATTCCTTTATCATATCATAGAAGCTAATCCGGAAATGGGGATGACATCACTAAAACAAAATCGAATTAAGACGTAAAATCAGTTACAACTTGCATTGGCACTTGGAATAACGTTTCGTTATAATATTGTGGAATATAATAAATAGTGAAACGGGTAGACTTACGAAGCGCAACTCTGACTTAACCATAACTGATGGTATTAATACTATTCAATCTAATCAGGAGGTTGCCAATTTTTTCGAGAAATTTTTTGCTGAGATTCCTGTTTCTACAACTAAGTCACTTCTCTCTTCTCCGACAATTGCCGAATCATTACTTAAGAAAAATGTTATGGAATGTAAAGAAAACTTTAAGTTTACTACTGTTAATAAGAACGATATCATAAAAACATTCAAATCTCTAGATATTAAAAGAACTGCTGATCTATGGGGGATCTCTGTCAAGGTGATCAGTTCTATAATTGATGTAGTCTCACCTTACTTAGCAACTATTTTTAATATTTGTATTCAACGTGGCGAGTTTCCTGACCTTATGAAACATAGTAAGATTATTCCGGTGTTCAAATCTGGTAGTACTTCTGACCCCAGCAATTTTAGACCTATTTCAGTACTACCAACTCTTAGTAAAAATTTTTGAAAAAATTATTTTGAATCAAATGTTACTCCATTTTAGTACACATAAATTGCTGCATAACAAGCAATATGGATTTACTAGGGGTCGCTCAACAACAGATGCGGGTATCCAGCTTGTGAAGAATATTTTTGAAGCCTGGGAAGAGTCACAGGATGCCTTAGGTATATTCTGTGACTTAACCAAAGCATTTGATTGTGTACAGCATGACACTCTGGTCAGGAAACTATACCACTATGGTATAAGAGATGCCGCACTCAATCTTCTGACATCGTACTTGAGCTATCGTGTTCAGAGAGTTGACGTGAATGGCAAGAGATCTCCCGGGGCCCTGGTAAGTATGGGGGTTCCACAGGGATCTATTCTGGGGCCTTTTCTCTTCCTCATCTACATAAATGACCTGCCCTATCTTGTAAATAATGAGAATCTGAGATAGTATTGTTTGCTGATGATACTTCTTTAATTTTTAAAGTTAAACGACATTCTTCAAATTATGACGACGTTAACAATACTCTCCACTGTAGTGCATTGGTTTAGTGCTAATAACTTAATGTTGAATAGTAAAAAAACGAAATGTATTAAATTTACAACTCCCAACGTAAAAAGTGTAAAAACTGATGTACTTTTACATGGGGAAGCGTTAGACCTCATTGACTCGACTGTATTTCTTGGCATAACCGTAGATGCCAAATTGCAGTGGGGCCCCCATATTAATAAACTGTCGAGTAGACTTAGCTCAGCAGTCTTTGCAGTCAAAAAAATTAGACAGTTGACTGATGTGGATACGGCTCGTCTGGTATATTTTAGCTATTTCCACAGTATAATGTCTTATGGCATTCTACTTTGGGGAAATGCAGCCGACATAAATACTATTTTCATCCTGCAAAAGAGAGCTATTCGAGCGGTTTATAACCTGGGCCCCAAAGACTCACTAAGAAACCTGTTTAAAGAAATAAAAATATTGACTGTAGCTTCTCAGTACATACTTGCTAATGTTATGTATGTCCACAAAAATAAGAATGACTTTTCAAGATTTAGTAATGTCCAAGATGTAAATACTAGGAACAAGCATAAATTAGTTCTACCCTCAACTAGATTGCGTAGAATAAGTAAATCTTTTATGGGACAATGTATACGCTTTTACAACAAAATCCCAGAAAACGTTCAAAATGAATCCGTTGCTAAATTCAAAAAACTTGTAAAGGAACGTTTGTGTGTTAATGGTTATTATAGTATTAGTGATTATATGAATGATAACACACTCTGGAAATGAATTGATCGCTCCAAGCTCTTTCAAGTGGAGTTTAATAGGAGTTTAATAATTGTACACATATTTGTAATTTTTTTGGCAAGTAAAAAAAAAAAATGTCCCGCTGAGTTTCTTACGCCGGTTCTTCTCAGGTCAGTGGCTTACCTTCCGAACCGGTGGTAGAGTTTTTTGACTATCAATAAGTAAGTGAATGCTTCTATATTGAATAAAGAAATTTGACTTTGACTTTGACTTTGTTCTTTCTTTTGGAATAACGTTTCGTTTCGGCCTTTTTTCTGAAATATGTTTGTCGCGGAGGGGTTTTGGGAGCATTATACGACCCCATGTTCGCCGGGAAGGTTTCTTTAAATCACCCTACACTTCAACTGTGCGGTTGGTCAGTGCAATTATGCGGCATGCTTGTAAACAATCTTTTTAGAGGACAACACACCGGCACCAGCTAACCATACTAAATACACTAATAGCGGTTAGGAAAACCCTAGCTGAGTCAGACCAGCTTCCTGGCGACGTGAGCCGCGCTCCTAAGCAGGCTAATTGAGATGAGACTCAGCCTGTCGCATTCAGAGTATAATGGACGGCTTTGCAGCGGCTGACGAAAAAGGTCGAGTTTTTGGGCACCAGCAGCGAATACTAAGTACGCTTATCTCATATATCTCAACCCGTCCCGAGACTATGAGTGGCCACGCAATAATGTTTTTTTTTTTATCGGACACGAAGCAAAATTAGGAATAAAATGTGTTTTCTGTCATAATTTTTTTTATCTCATAAAGTGGCAAACGAACTGGCAGTTCACCTGAAGTGATAACCGCCGCCCATGGACTTTTGCAACACCCATAGGGTTGCAAATGCGTTGCCACTTTTAAATAAAGAGGGCCCTGGCTACCTCAATCACCAGACGAAAGGCAGAAGTGTAACACTTCTACTCTACGCCTGTCTTCTGTGAGGTCGTGGTACTTACCTGAACGGACCTACCCATTCGTGCAACAGTGAACACCGTTTCGTGGCCCTACCACACTAAAGTAATTAGTCATAATTAAGAAGTACTTGTGCATTTTATTAAACATACTATTGATTGCTTCACTGTTGATAAAATTATTGATCTGCAACCTGTCACAGTCAAAAGACGAACCATTGTACCAGTTGATTTAGCTCAGTGATACAATGTTGGCAGCTGCCAACATTGTATCTGGCTGATGTTTACTAATCTGGTCATTGTTTTACAGAGCTGATTGCATTGCAACCGGAGCACAAAGCGTAACAAATAATATATGTTATACAACAGAAAGGTCAAATTTTTACCAGCGGATGGAGATGACGAACACGAATTATATGAATTAATCATCTCAGTTTGTTTATAGCTTTGTAGCTTAGTTAATACGGCCCATATCTCCGACCTGGGCGATCGGGTGGAACCTGGATAGTTCACGACCTCCATGGTTCGTACCTGTCCTCGCCTCAGCTGGCAGAGTATTTAGCTTTGCAATGTTGAAAACTCCAAGTCATCAAATCATCGAAGTACATGA